AGGTTAGTAGGAGATATATTTCCTACATTAGATTATTAATTGGAGTAAGATTAGATTTTCCTAAATTAGGAATTAATTTTATTTCATGATTATTAACTAAATTAGGAAAAGTATTCCTACTAGGATCTTCTCTAGTGTTAGAAGACTAAGGAGTCTTCTAGAAGAGTTAGATTAGTAGGAGATCTCCTTCCTACATTGAATTAGTACTGGAGTAGAATTAGGATTCCTAGGCGTAATGGAATAAGCCCATATTTAGCACCTCCTTAAGGTCCCTAATGGAGCCTATAACTACACCAAGTCCCAACCTCTTGATGATGATTATGGTGGCCAATTTTTCTCCTACATACGCGCAAGAAATAGCATTGTTCGAGAGTTAGGGAGATTCGATTAAATGCTCCACCAAGTTTAATCGAAATAGGATTTTAATTCATGTTGAATGTATGCTGTTTTTAAAGCCTCGGACATGTCGAGGAATTTTTGGGTTGGTGAATGCTTGTAATAAAATTATTCGCGCGGTGGGACACTGCATAGTTTATTGCTTTCATAGATACTCATGTACGACTCATGCGTGGGTCATATGATGAATTATGTAATTGTTGTTTATATTATTCATTATTGATCCGACGGACGTGGACCAACCTTGACGGGGCGAGGCGATTAACGCGTACACGGATTCCATGGTGATGATCCAATGGAGACTTTCCTGGACACGACCAATTCAGTGGGAGTCACTACAAAAGGGGAGTTCCAATGTCTGAATCGGAGGACACACTCAACAAGGACAGGATTGTGTTTTCTCCGTAACATTTGAGATTGATTAATGACCATGATAGTTGGATTATAATTCCTAGTTTATTAGTGCTCATTAATCATGCATGTTTTATGTGATTGCTTATGTGCAAAATCAAACATGTTCTAGAAAATTCCTAAAATAAAAATTATATTAAGTGTGTAATGTGTTGAAATAAATTACATCAAAGGCCTCCGTTATAGGTTTGTCAGTGAAGTGATTTAATTCGAGCCCAAAGGACATTTTATTTCACAGTTCACAAGGACGAATTTCCTTCGGGATGGTTATAGTGAACTATTTCAAAAGCGTACGGGTCACCCAAAGGTGGAAGTATAATTTTGGTAGTAAACTTAGTACCAATTAATGGGTTACACTTAAAGTGCAAATAATTACGATAGTCCCAAAGGATAAGGTCGTTTTTATTCTTTTATAAGTTAATTGTGTTGGCCAAAAGATGAGACCGACTATTAGTTAAGTGCTGCTCGACAGTATGTTAAGCTAATGGGATTTATCGCTCCTCTTGCGAATGTTTGAACCGTAGACGTCCACACTCTGTGGCCTGCGGGGATTCGGTGTTTGGAGGTGTTGGTGAATTTATTTGAATATTGTTACATAGGATAAATATTTGATGTATAAATTCAAAACTACTTGACTGAGTGAAGACTATGTTTACATGATTCCAGGAATTCAAAATGTCTTTCAATCTGTTGTCCGTAATTCTCAAAGAAAACAAACTTGTTGGTCCCAATTATATTGACTGGAAAAGGAACTTGGATATTGTGTTAACTGCTGAGGGGTACAAATTTACTATTGTTGAGGCTTGTCCAGATGTGCCTGCGGACAATGCACCAGACCAAGAGAAACAGGCGTATGCTCGATGGAAAAAGGCTGATGAGATGGCGAAGTGTTACATCTTGGCATCTTTGTCAAATATACTTCAACATCAGCATCAGTCTATGAACACTGCAGCAGAGATGCTCCTCAATCTCAAGGAGTTATTTTGTCATCAGTCGCGGGCAGCCCGACAAGAGGCCATGAGGGTTCTGATGAACATGACCATGCGCGAGGGCACTCCCGTAAGGGAACATGTTCTTGCTATAATGACCCAACTGAATGAGTTGGAGGTTCTTGTGGCTTTTATTGACGGGGAAACCCAGGTTGATCTAGTGCTCCAGTCTTTGCCGAAAAGCTTCGAGCAATTCTAGTTGAATTACAACATGAATAAGATGTTGATGACTCTTCCGGAACTTGTTGCTGAACTTCAGTCGGCAGAGGGCCTGTTTCGTCAGAAGAACCAAGCTATGGTGGCCCAGCGGGGAGAAGCTTCCACTTCTAAGGCTCCTAAGGGAAAGAAGAGGAAGAAGTCCGCAGGAAAGGCAAAGTGGTCATCAATGACGTGCAACCTCGACAGAAGGTGAAGAAGCCGAAAGGCAAGTGCCACAAATGCCAGCAGAAAGGACACTGGAAGGTAGACTGCCCTCCCCTCAAGAATGTCGATAGAGTTATATCTTTTTCTTTAGTCGTTGAAACATATTCAGCGGTGTTATCTACCAGTACCTGGTGTGTAGATACATGAGCCACTAATCATGTAAGCAATTCAATGCAGGGGTTCCAGGTAACCAAGCGACTTAGGGAAGGAGAAGTTACCATCTACTTGGGCGATGCTAGTAGAGCATCAACAGTTGCAGTGGGAGTCGTCTATTTGGATTTTGGCTTAGATAGGTTTCTAGTTTTGAAAGATTGTCTTTATGTTCCTAGTTTTAGAAAGAATTTGATTTCAGTTTCTAAGTTGTTTATGAACAATTTTTCTGCTACTTTTGATAATAAAGTTGTTATTCGTTTTGGCAAAAAGTTCATATATTCTGGTTCATTAGCTGACAATCTATACATTCTAGAATCTAAGTCATCTCCACTGCAACAGAAACAATTACTTAATTCCTCATCTAATCTAAATAAGAGAAAGGAACCTTCCAAAATGAATGAAACATATCTTTGGCATTTAAGACTTGGTCACATTAACCTTAGGAGGATTCAAAGGTTGGTAGCAGACGCACCCTTGGGGTCGCTAGAAGTCGAGGGTTTTCCAACTTGTGAGTCTTGCCTGGAAGGCAAAATGACTAAGAGGGTTTTTAGTTCAAAGGGACATAGAGCCGAAGATGTGTTAGGGCTAGATCATTCTGATCTATGTGGTCTTATGAGTGTTCAAGCGAGAGGAGGTTTCGAGTACCTCATTATGTTTATCGATGATTACTCGAGATATGGGTACATTTTTCTTCTGCACCACAAGTCTGAATGCTTTGAGAAGTTCTTAGAGTATAAGGCAGTTGTGGAGAAGCAGTTAGGAAAAAGTATCAAGTCATTACGATCAAATCGTGGTGGCGAATATCTATTGAATGAATTTAGGAACTACTTGATGGATAATGGGATTACGTCCCAGCTGACTGTGGCTGGCACGCCCCAACAGAATGGCGTAGCAGAACAGAAGAATAAGACTTTTATGGAAATGGTTAGGGCAACGATAAGTTATAGTACTTTACCAGATTCGTTTTGGGGATATGCCCTAGAAACAACGGTATACATTCTGAATAGAGTACCTTCTAAATCAGTACCGTCTACACCATTGGAGTTGTGGTCTGGGCATAAGCCTAGTCTAAGGCATCTCAGGATTTGGGGTAGTCCAGCACACGTGCTGAGAACCGATACTGATAAGTTGGAACCGAGAACAGAAGTAAGGCTGTTTGTGGGATATCCTAAGGAAACGAAAGGTGGTCTATTTTATAGTCCCGAGGACCAGAAAGTAATCGTTAGCACGAATCCTAGGTTCTTGGAAGAAGACTATGCTTTAGATCATAATCCCAGTAGTGGACATGTTCTCGAGGAGTTAAAGGGATTTAGTACTTCAATACCGAGTGCGCTAGATGTTACACCACAAAATACTGCAACACGTATCGCTGATGATGCACTTGAGCAGGTAGTAGCTCGTCGTAGTGGGAGGGTTATTCGGCAGCCCGAATGGTTCATGGGTCTGGGAGAGTCTTCTGAGGCCGTCCCGGACGTTCTTGAAACCGGCACATGGACTTACAATGAGGAACTCCAAGATCGGGACGTAGAGTCTTGGCAAAAGGCGATGAAATCTGAAATAGGGTCAATGGACTCTAATCAGGTCTGGGATCTTGTAGAGCCACCCAGTGGCGTCCACGCCATTGGATGCAAGTGGGACTATAAGAGAAAGAGAGGAGCAGATGGGAAGGTTGAGACCTTCAAAGCTAGGTAGCCATGCTCAAAAAAGAAGGGATCGATTATGAGGAAACCTTTTCGCCGGTAGCCATGCTCAAATCCATCAGGATTCTCTTGGCTGTAGTCGCTCATATGGATTATGAGATTTGGCAAATGGATGTTAAGACCGCTTTCCTTAACGGGAATTTGGATGAGGACATCTATATGCAGCAACCAGAAGAATTCATTACAAAGGGCCAAGAGCATCTTGTCTGCTAGCTGAATAGGTCCATTTATGGGCTGAAGCAGGCTTCGAGGTCTTGGAACATCCGTTTTGACGAGGTTGTCCGATCGTATGGATTTACCCAATGTCCGGATGAGCACTGTGTGTACAAGAAAAGTGATGAAAACGTGATGGTGTTTCTAGTTCTGTACGTGGATGATATTCTTCTCATTGGAAACAGTGTAAAGATGTTATCAGACGTAAAGGTATGGTTATCCAAGAAGTTTGATATGAAGGATTTGGAAGAAACAGGACATGTTCTCGGAATCAAGGTCATTCGGGACCGAGAGAAGAGAAAGTTGTGCCTATCCGAATCCACATACATAGACACTGTCTTAAAGCGTTTCATCATGCAGGATTCTAAGAAAGGGGATTTACCCTTTCGGCATGGAATACCTCTATCTAAGAATATGTCCCCGAAGACACCTCAACAGATAGAGGACATGAAGGCAGTTCCTTATGCATCGGCAGTAGGAAGCCTCATGTATGCGAGGTTGTGCAGGCGACCTCATATTTGTTATATCGTGGCCATGGTAGCAAGATATAATAGTAATCCAGGACCGAAACATTGGTCTGCGGTAAAGCATATAGTCAAGTACCTACGTAGGACTAAAGAGTACATGTTGATTTACCAGGCAGATGAATTGCTTCCGTTGTGTTACACCAATTCTGACTTCCAGGCAGACCGGGACAAAAGCAAGTCAATCTCAGGGTTTGTGTTTACTTTAGGAGGAGGAGCCATAGTATGGAGGAGTGTCAAGCAGAAATGCGTGGCAGACTCAACCATGGAGGCTGAGTATATAGTAGCCTTAGAGGCAGCGACAGAAGCTGTCTGACTCAGGAATTTTCTCCTCGACCTTGATGTGGTACCGAGTTTTCCCGCTGCGATTACAGTGTTCTGTGATAACAGCGGGGCAGTAGCAAATTCGAAGGATCCACAGACTCATAAAGCGAGTAAAAACATAGAGTGCAAGTACCACCTGATACGTGTAATCATTGAACGAGGAGAAGTCGTCGTTGTTGACAAGATACAGTCAGAGGAAAACCTAGCAGATCCTTTTACGAAGAGCCTACCGGCGAAAGTCTTTACAAGACACGTAGAAGGAATATGAGTCAGATGTTAGGGCGACATAGTAGACTAGTCTTTGAGAATTAGATTGAAAGAAATTGTGGTTAGTTTGTATAGCCATGAGCTTATAAAGCATAAGTGGGAGATTGTTAGAGATATGCTATAAAAGTTATGTTTTGCAGATTCTATCGATTCCATTTTTATCTGGCCATCATGTTTCAGTTAAAGTATATATGTTTGCAGTTTATTTATTTATGCAAATCATACTTCATGTCTTATATTGAGATAGTGTGGTTTGAAGTGTTTCGAACAGAAAGATCACCTATCAGTTTCTTATAAGACTAAACTATTCGTTCACAGTGTAGACAGACAGTGAGTCCCCTCTTGGAAAAAGACAGTAGTGTATTCTTGATTCAGTTGATCTTTGACTGAAGAATTACACTAGCACTTATGTTAAGTGTTGAACATGACCATGGAAGGATAAGGTTATGAGACTCATTGATCATTGTAGTAACCTAGACCTTCAGTGATTGATGCATCCTCTTAAGCTGTAAGATAATATAAAATATGCATATATATTTATCTCTTATTTATTTGATGGGTCAAAATCTTTTTCACCCCGTTATAAATTTATTCTTTCTTTTACACACCGCCCCATCAAATAACTTCTTTTACACCCCAAAAGTCATGAAATGCTATGTGATATTACACTCGCATGTCCAAATGAACCAGCGCATATCCAACTGGATGCATAGTTTATGACTATGCGAAAACATTTCGCATTTTTGTAATCGCATATCCACATCAAACGCATAATTTACAAATATGCAAACATCTTTCGCAGTTTTAAGAATCGCATATCAAAATCGAATGTAGCATAATTTACAATGATTATGCGCCTTATTTCGCAGGGCTATATCGACCTTGCAAATTTATGACTGTGCGAAAACATTTCGCATATAATTCGCATTATTTGTAGAATTCGCATTTTCTGAAAATTTCATATCCAAGTCAATCGCATAATTTACTAGTATGTGAAAAACTTTCGCATATATCCACCGGATAATTAACAATTATGCGACATTTTTTCGCTCGCATATTGAAGAATCGCATAACAAAATCGAATAAAGCATAATTTAATTGACGATTACATGTTATTTTTTCGCAGGTCCATATCATCATGGTAATTTTACGACTATTCAGATTTGATCACATATCTGTCACATAAGTTAAGCACCTCATTAGTTGATTGCTTTTTGACAGGTGAGGATTTTGTCTGTGCATTTATCATGCAGGAAAGAAAATAGTGATCTCTAACAATTCAACGTCTCCACCATTCTTCTCTACTGCAATTTTCTGTTTCTTTCGTTTTAATTCCTTTTGTTGTTCACTTATTTGAATGGATAGCACCCGTGTTAGAGTATGCGTGAGCTATGGTGGTACGTTTTTCGGGGGTTCATATCTTGGTGGAGTGGCAGAGCTGATGAGAATAAATTACGACCGACAAATGTATTCTGAAGTAGTTTCTCGTGTTCAAGCATTATTGAAGGCCGATCCTTGTAATTTTAAGTACATATTGTGGGCAGTATTTGATGGAAGAGAACGAAATGTGAAGATGAAAATCAAATCCAGTGAGGATATCTTAGAGCTGATTGAAGAACAAAAAACTCCCAACATTTACGTGGAGTTGGAGAAGCGAGTAAATGTAGGGATTTCGTGGACGGCGGAACAAAGCTTCACGCAAATGATGGCGTCCCAAGGTGTATTTCCGAGTTCTTTTGGTGTTGGTAGTTCTGCATTTTCCCACGAGGCCCCATATTCACATCAAGTAGGCCCTAGTTCATTTACACATACTGGATATCCTCGGGGCGCTGATGATCAAACTGCGGGTTGTTCTAATCAACCAGGTCATTCTCATGACGATGACAATAATGATGACCAAACCAACACACACAATGGTGACTCAGGCGACGAAGACAAAGAGGTCCATGAGAAGCAAATGTTCAAGCTTTTCAGGGCGTGGTATAGCGAGCATATTGAAGAGCTAAGATTAATCACCGACCATATTGAGGTTGGAAATCTTGCATATATGAATCGAGGTAGCACCCGACAATCCGACGTTGAGCCACAAATGTGGTCCCTTCCTATGCCGCCCACGACAACTGGATCAGATAGACAACCCATCCACTTACCCTCGAACAATATAGAATCATCTTTGGGGTCTATCTTTCTTTCGAAAGAAGAGTTGATTTGTGTCATCCAACTGTATCACTCGCAACAAAAAGTTAAGTGTCGAACACCCAAATCCTGCACTTCTAGGTTACAATCTATTTGTCGGTATGAAGGGTTTTCTTACAAGTTATGTGCAAGGGCAAAGCGAGATGTATGGAGAATCACTACTTTGAAACTCGAGCATATATGCGAAGGGAGTTTGACGCACAATCGACACCGTTCGGCTAATTCCAAGGTTCTCGCTCATATTTACGCACCAACTATTCAGACAAATCCCCAGACGGTATCTACACGGAGAATTATTGAACAAATGCGAGAGGAGCATGGTTTGTCGATCAGCTACAATGTGTCCCTCCGAGCAAGACACCGTGCTTTTGAAAAATTTTATGGAGGTCATGAAGAATCCTGGGGGCGGCTTCCCAGTTACTTGCACATGTTGCAGGTTCATAATCCAGGTACAATTGTCGAACTGCAACGAGATGGCGAGGTATTCCAACACTTGTTCTTTGCTCTAGGAGCTAGCATTGAGGGCTTTCAACGAGCTGGTGTCCCAGTGATTGTGATAGATGGTACCCACTTGAAGGGAAAATACAAGGGCATTATATTTGTTGCAGCCACATTGGACGGAAATAACCAAATCTTTTCCCTCACAGTTGGTATTGGTGATGTAAAGCGTCGTGAGACTTGGAGTTGGTTTTTGACTCAATTGAAAAGGGCCCATGGTTGTCCTGATAACCTCCTCATCATATCGGATAGACATGAGTCTATCATATATTATGTCCCAATAGTGTTCCTCGAGGCGCATCATTCATTTTGTTGTTATCACATCACAAAACAAATGAGGTCTTTTGGGAAATCTGTCTTGGACATATTTTACAAGGCGGCATGTTGTTATCGGCGTGAAAACTTCTATCGTTACTTGTCATCCCTCCAAAGCCTAAAACCTGAAGCATTTAAAAAGCTAACTAATGAAATTCCGGTAAATGCTTGGGCGAGGTGTTCTACACCTGTACAACGCTATGGATTCATGACATCCAATTCATGCGAAAGTTTGAACAACAAACTCCGTTGGGCCTGGATGTTACCCGTTTGCTCGTTGTTGGAGTGTGTTCGAGCAACGATAGAGAAATGGTTTGCTGTTCGGTGTGCATCCGCCGAGGGTCGCAATCATCCGCTAACGCAGTGGACTCAATTGTGGTTAGACTTTTTGTTCGAGAAAGGTCGTACTCTATCCATTACCACACTCGGCATGCAACGTTATAGGGTTATGGAAGAAACACGATCCTACGTGGTAGATTTAGAGGCAAGAACATGTGATTGTCGTGTGTTTGAAATAGATCTACTACCTTGCTTACATGCATCTACGGCTATTCGGTAATATTTACCAAACAACATTATCGCTTTTTTCTTTAGAAAAATAAAAAATTGTTATATTCTAATATAATGTGCATTTACGATATGTAACAGGTAAGTCGGGTTAGATATAATGGATTTTGTTAATGACCATTATAAAACCTACTCAGTTGCAAGGATGTACCAAAGCACCGTTAGCCCTTTCCCGCATCCAGATGAATGGCACTTGCCCCCAGAAATTATGCGTAAAAAGGTAATTCCGTCAAATGATCCCAAACAAGCAGGTCGGCCACGGACTCAACGTTATTCCGCTGGAGAAGGATCATCACGTCGAGTACGACGTCCGCAGATGTGCTCACGGTGCGGGGTCATCGGGCATAACAGGGTGAAGTGCCCTCTATACGATGGTGATGATGACTTTTTTTCAAATGAAGAAGGTTAAAACGCACCAACTTCTCATCCAAGACGCCCGAGGAGATGTCGTACATGTAAAGAAACAGGTCACAAATCGTCATCTTGTCCATCACGTCCAATCCATGACAATTAAAATGAAGATGGAGTTTTTAGTTGTAAACCAAGTTAACAAAAACAATACTTTTAACGGGAAAAATACTGTGTTGCTGCCCTAAGTTGCGACCTGCACACGATTGACTAACAAAAGTTAGTGAAACTGGGTTGATTGCGGGATTCGCATAACATGTCCCATAATAATCGCACAATTGGGTTGATTGTGCGATTCCCATATCATATCCCATAATAATCGCACAACTGGGATGATTCGACTAGTCTTCAACCGCATAATTAACGAATCGTATATCCAAATCGAAAGCCGCATAATTTACGACTATCTGCCATTTTTTTCGCATATCCATATGGACCGCAATTGATTGTCTGAACCGCATATCAAAATAGAAAGTGCTTCGCATATTATTCGCAAACGTTACGCACCCCATTGATTGATTGTCTGCACCGCATATCGAAATAAAAAATGCTTCGCATATTGTTCGCATATGTTACGCACCGCATTGATTGATTGTCTGCACCGCATATCCAAATAAAAAATGATTCACATATTGTTCGCATAAGTTACGCACCGCATTGGATTGACTGCAACAATAATAAATATTTTTTTCTTCTGTCAAGTATGTGTTTAATCATGATTCATATGTCAAAACAAAACAATATGTTGCATGGACAATGAAACCATTAATATCCGTCAACAGAGTTTTGCCAGCAAAATCAGCGACAATACTCGAAGGGAAATTATTATTCACAGAACTGTGAACAAAGTGCGATAATTCGCATTGTGTTCGCATAGCGTAATGAAAAAAAGAGTAATTTATAGTTTTTAATCACATATCCAGGCCAGATCAATCAAACGCATCATTTAGAATTATGCGGCATATGTTCGCGTAATTTAAGATTCGCATATCCAAATCTATAAGGCTAGATAACTATCGATTATGCGTATTGTTATCGCATATTTACGAATCGCATATCCATATAAAACCTCGCATAAATGTATCAATATGCGAACACATTTCAAAAAGTGTTACACACAGCTTTTTTTCACCTAATAGTTTTTTTCAATTCATTATTAATTTAGTCAAAGAACAAGAATTTTCCAAAATTTACCAACTCTTCGAAAAATATAGGATGTTTGTATGTCGCAATTTTGTACTTCGCGGAATAGAAAATTTACAAAAACAAATATAAAAAAATATATGTTATTCGTTATAGTTTTGAGTTATGCGTTTTTTATGCGGAAATGTTTTGAGTAATAATCGCAGGTTCTTTCGCCTAATAGTAGTCTTCTTCAATTTATTATTAAATCATAGAGAGAACTTTAAAAAAAAAATAAATTAATTAATTATGCACCAATTCTGCGAATAATATGCGACGTATATGTCGTAATTTTGCATCGACTCAACTACTTTACATCAACTAATTTTTTATAGGCGAATAATATGCGACACATGTACGTCGCAATTTTACATGGACTCAACTACTTTACATCGATTGACGTAATTTACAAGTAACCTTACAACGTCACATAAATTAGTAGATAGAGGAGGCTGCAACGGCGAGTTGAACAACAACTTGAAAGATCAGAACCAATTGGATGATTGTGCCGAAGTTGGAGGAACATGGAGGGCTAAACAAGTTGGTCTGCGAGATGAACGTGTTCGCCAATCCATGTTTGACTTTGGATAAACATTTCAAAGTCTCAATCTAGTATACCCCGGAAGAACAAGCACCTTTGTCTTTGAAGGGGTGCTCCATGCCGTCGTAGGCGCCTCAATCTAGTAAACCCCGGAAGACCAAGCAATTCGCCGGAGATTCCACGCCTTCCCATACACATGGTCACCAACAGCTTTTTCAGCCTCCAATTTTTGTAGCTTACAATGTGAGACGACCATGTGCCTGAGAAGGCATGGTATCTCCAGGGAGAGTGCTTCGACTTCCGAGGTATACTAGATTGAGGAGGCTACGACAGTGAAAGGGAGCACGCCCTCAAAGACAAAAGGAGGATCATGAGTCATCTCTCAATTCTTCAACCTTCAATTTTTCTCAACATGTCCGTACAATGAAGAGACTTCATTGACCGACATGTTGAGGAAAGCGAGAGTTAAAGAATGTTGAAAAAATGGTCCTGATCCTAATTCAATTGTCTCATCTCAGCTACCTTTTATAGAAGACTCAAGAAGATATCTATCCTCCTTGATACGCGCGACATTATTAATTTGCCGAAGACTGAGGAGACGTTTTGGAGCGACTCTTCAAATTTGCAGAACTGCAAACAAAATGCGATGAATCGCACTTCATTCGCATAACTTTATGACAATAAATGATTTCGCATATTTGTTTAATCAAGAAGATATCTATCCTCTTTGATACGCGCGCCGTTATTAATTTGCCAAAGACTTGAGGTCCCGTTTTGGAGCAACTCTTCAAATTTGCAGAACTGCGAACAAAATGCGGTGAATCGCACTTCTTTCGCATAACGTATTGACAATAAATGATTTTGCATATACTCAAGAAGATTTCTGTCCTCCTTGATATGCGCGCCGTTATTATGCGTCAAAGACTGAGGGGACGTTTTGGAGAAGAGGCGACTCTTCAAATTCGCAGAACTGCGAACAAAATGTGATGAATCGCACTTCTTTCGCATAACGTGTTGACAATAAATTGCATTTGATTTTGCATATCTGGTTAAAAAAACATACGTAAAATATAATTAATTGTTTTTAATGCGCCGAAGACTGAGGGGACGTCGTTTCGGAGAAGAGGCGACCTTTTTCGTAAAACAACTGTCAATTTGCGAGACGAAAAGACGCAACCTGCCAACCTTTATATCGCAGCACGGCGAACAATGTGCGATTAATCGCATATCTTTCGCATACCTGGAATTAGGGAGGGAAAATATCCCGCCCAATGAATTACTAGAGCAGTGAAATGAAATTAAGTTGCAAGTGAAATGAAAGTGACAATAAAATATTCAATCTCAATCTTAGATAAAATATTGTTTAATGTGATTATGTTTGAAAGTGACAATAGAAGAAATCACTTATTAAAAAATATAATAATGTTCAAGCTCAATCTTAGATAAAATGTGGATTATGAGTTAAGGTATATAGATAAATATGGTTTAATGTGATTATGTTTGAATGTGACAATAGAAGAAAACCACTTATTA